CACTCTTCCTCTGCAGCCCTGGTTACTCACTGAATCATCAGCACAGCAACACTACCTAACATCTGTCATGTTGCATTAAAACTATCCATCTATCCATCCTTTGCACGACTTCTTATAAAAGTTTCAATTTAGGGGAGGCTGGAGCCTATAAATATAGAAATATTTATTTTGTCTTTTTTCCCATAATTTCAAAGTATATCCTTTTCAGTAAGAATACACCTCTTCTCTTCTCTTCTGCTGCCATCTTGTGGTTAAAATTAATATTTTATTTACACTGGAAAAGGGAAACCCACTTCTGTTCAGATGCTTATATACATTCATTATTAGTAATTTGGAGATTTTAATTTTTTCTTTGCACTATTATCTAATCCACAGAGTCAGAGTTACATATACAGGATCAACTATATGCACCCCAAGCTAGTCCTCCTTCTTCATTATTTCACTCACTTTGTGCAATTTATCAGTTCCATTGGCAGCAAAACTACCCCAAAGCATGATGCTATCACCACCATGCTTGAGAGCTGCTACAGTGTTCTTTAAAAGCCTCACCTTTAATGCAAACATGCCTCTTGTAATTGTGGCCAAATATATCAATGTTTGTCTCATCTGACCAAAAACATTTTTCCAGTGGACATTTGGCTTGTCCATGTGAGCAGCTGCAAATTTCCGCTGAACTCGTGGTGTGGATTTTGGAGCAGGGGCTTTTTTATTGGTCTGCACACTTTCAGTCCATGGTTACTTAAAACTCCCATAACTGTGGACAGTGATGCTGCTGTTCCAGCAGATTCCAGTTCAGGGCAGGCTTGAGGCTGTGTGGATCCTGAGTTGTTCCAGATCATTCAAATCAATTTCCTCTGGGCTGATGGTGACAATTTGGATCTTCTTCCAGATCTTGGCAAAGTGGTGGCACATCCAACTAAGTTGTACTTAATGTGAAATTATTTGAATTGATGATCTTGGAATCTGCAGCTATTTGGAAAAAGAACCAGGAGACTTTCCCAGATTGTGTAACTCTACAATTCTCCTTATTTCCTATTCACTGGGTCCCTTTGACCTTCCCATTGTTCTGAGTATTGGTCAATCCAATGAACACTGTCAAACAAATCTGTTTTATACTGAACGAGAAGTCAATCATAATCACTAATGAGAAGTTAATAGGAATGAGCTTTGTCAAGTTAAAAGACACTGTAGAATGTAAAAGATTTAAGTGAGTATGTGTATTATTTGGGCCTCTATGCATACTTTGAACTCTGTGTGGATTAAAGAACATCCAAAATATATTCAAACTTGTGCACCAATTTCTTTTTTTTCTTTTAATTGATTAAAGATATATGCTGTGCAATCATTACACTTTGGAAAAAAGAACAGATCAAGGAAATAATTACAAGCCCAAAATTACCATGATCTTCACGCTCATGGTGAGTGGATATAAACTTCTGACCACAACTGCATATCTGTAAACACTTGAATATCACCAAGTTAGACTTGTGGCTCTGCACATAAGAAAAGCAGAAGTGTAGGTAAGAACACATTCAACTGGCTGGCTTGGCTCTAAAATTGTTTAACATTCTTTGATGTTGTTGATGTTCATAGCTTCCACGTTTTTAACTTCAGCCACTCTTTGAGCTGCGTAGATTGCATAAAGAAGTAGGTACTGCCCTTCACTAGTGACGTCATATATAGAATATGTCCAATAAATATTTACATAATTATTGTCCAAAAGACAGTGCAGTGTAGTCATCATTTCAGATTCAAGTAAAGGTTATAAATGAATAAAAATTACAACCAACCGAACAGACAAACAGAAGTCAGATTTTAACTTTGATCAAACAGAAAGGAAAGGTAATATAGGCGGCAGCATCCAGTATTTAGCATGTCACTACAGATTAAGTTGAAAAAAGTGAAAAAAAACAACACTTCAAGTAAGTAGTATAAATTTAAAATCGATTTTATTCATTAAAAATTGCAAAAATATGTGAAAGTACACACATTCAATCCTAGATGACGTATAATAAAAATAATTACACATAAATAAAGTAATATGAAATTAAAAACGGAAAATTGTGACTAATTGTGTAGGACGTAAATACGGAAGCTTGTTTCCGTAGCTGAAAATAACATTTGTTTGTGTTTAGTTTCTGTCTTGACCTTAATAACATTTTACGTTAGTTTTTTTTTTTCATTTCAAGATATTTGGTCAGACGTTTGAGTCGATAAATCGAGGTTTTACTTATTGGTGGCAAAGAATATTCGTTTTCAAGTGTCAGAAACAAGTTTTCATACACACAAGCATACGCTTGTTGTCGATGTCCCTCGTTACTAGCCGTCGTTTACGTCACGAAACGAGCAGAACTGAACAGCATGGAGGAGCTTGTATGACCTTCTGATGATATTTTCCCCTGGTTATAGTGAGTTAGTTTTGTATTTTCTACTTTCAATGGTATTTTGTATTCTTGCCGAATTACATCAGTTTATTTTTATGACCTTTTTTTAAAAAAAATGAATGTATGTTTAAGTTAATGCTAACATAACAAGGCTAACCGTTTAGCGGCTGTTTTACGTTGACTCACATTGTTAGTACAGTTGTCGGCTCAGAGGTTTTATCCGGTAAAACTGTAACTGAACGTGTCTTTAGATTGATTACATTTCAGTTGAGTCTCATCCGTATATAATGATGTCAGGGTTGATAATATTTTGTTTCTGCAGGTTGAGTAAAGCTTTGCAGGATGTCAGTCCAGCACGCATCAGTCCATGCCAAATGGATCATCGGCAGAGTCATCGGGACCAAGATGCACAAAACGGCCAAAGTGAGAGTTACCAGGCTGGTGCTGGACCCTTACCTGCTCAAGGTGAGCCTTTAGGGGATTAAGCACCTTTTATAAAATAAGAGTACAAGTGCTTTAAAATAGGCCGGTAAAGCTACAGAGTAAATGAAATACAGAAGGAAACTATTACAGGTTATAGGAGAGAAGAGTAAAAACAAAAATATTTGAATGGCCTTTTTAAAGATTGTGTCCACAGCTAAAGGTCCTGTAGAGAAAAGACTCAGATACCTTTAGGGAGAGAATATACCCTGATGCAGGTGTGTAAACGGACAGTTTTGCACACCAGATGTGTGTGGGAGTGAGCCGGTGCTGTTGATGTTATTTTCATATATAGCGAAGGCTCGTGGATGTCCTAAAAAGGCTTCACATACATGTTCTGGTGACATTATGCAAGTCAGACTCATTGCATACTATCAGAGGAAATGAGTAGATCACTGGCATTACTCCACGACTCTTTGCTTAGACAAATAAACAATGAATTAAAGTAATCCAAATACAATAAAATAAAGGCATCAACTGACTTTCCTGATTGATGATTTAGCAAAGGTTTCAAGAGAGCTTGAAGTTTTCATGACATTAAACACAATTATGTCCGAGGTAGAAACAAGGACTTCTGTTTTTATTTATTGTCAGTAAGAAAACTGTGAGCCTTGCAATTTATTCTGTAGAGGCAAGAGGCACACGTGGTGGCGGTTATTTGTTTATATTGGGCGTTATTATTGTTATTTTTATGCCTTTATATGGATGGGAGGTCCACTGTCCCATGTTTCAGTGACTTTTCTGCACATTTCTGCTGAAGGTGACTACCTGATAAGCCAAAAAGACCAAATCATCTGCAAAAAGCAGAGACGAGGGCCTCAGGCCACAAAAGTCTTAGCTTTCTGCCACTTGGTTCGAACTAGAAATTCTGGGCATAAACGTTCAAGCATTTATGAATTTATATTTGAATAACTGTGATATTGTCTCTTCTTCTCCTGTAGTACTACAACAAAAGGAAGACGTACTTTGCCCATGATGCATTGCAACAGTGCACTGTGGGAGATATCGTCCTCCTCAAGGCTCTGCCTGAGCCCAGAAGCAAACACGTGAAGCATGAACTGTCAGAGATCGTGTATAAAGTTGGCCGGGTGGTTGACCCCCTAACAGGAAAGAAGGTTGCAGGAACTGAATTTGTGGAGCCTCTAACAGACCTTCCACTTCAAGAGGAGAAAACGCTGTCAGAGAAACTGCAGGAGCTCAACATCTCTGCTGCCCCCAGTGGAGCCGATTCCCCACTGGCACAAACTCCCACTTCATGACAGAAAACTGTGATTTCATGCAGTAATATCAGCTTATTTGTCACTCTACAATGCTTGTGTTTCAAGTGTTAATGTGGATTTATGTTTATAAACTAAGAATCTTTGCTGTACATGTATGGGTGAAGAGACTAAATATTACTTCCTTGTTACCTGCTCAGGTAGTGGACACCTTTCAGAGGAATTTGCAAAATAAAACAACTGCGCAAAAAACAATGTCATGGAAGATACTCGTGTCTGTTATCCAGGTTAGGAATATATTATAATCAAAAGGTGAAGGCCTGGGCTGGATCATCTAATCGGCCCATCCATGAGGACCCATCCAAGAGAAAAGGAGAGGAGGGAGGATAAAATAAATGCCATTATGGTATTCACTTAAAACTAAGAAAGTAGATATCAGGTGTGTGAATACAAAAAACGTACATTAGACATGTTATTATCATAGAACATGCATGAAGCTTTGGCTGCTTCATTTTGCATTTAATATAAGGTACTTTGGAGCTTTAAGTGAAGTTGTAATGACGTTTATTGACCCAACAAGGAAAATTATGTTACATCAGCAGGATAAAGAAGAAATAATAGTATAGTTTACAATAAATAATGGTCAGAGTACAATAGGTGCATAGTGAAGGCCTTAAACTGAGATAGTGCACAACTTTTATGTATACCATGGTGATTTTAAAAAACCCCCAGTAAAAATAAAACTGAGGCTAAAGAAGAATAAAAAGTAAAATTGAGATTGTTTAAGAGAATAGTGCAAATTGCATTTATAAATAATATGCACTTTATAATCTGAAAACAACAACATTTGTATGCAGGGGTGTGTAAAGTGATGATCTGGACATGGTGGGGTGATTCCAGTCAGTAGTGGCTCTGTAAGTGGGACTGCTATAATGAATATGCAGTCAGTGAGTCTGGTCTAATTACTGAGGGAGCTGTCCTTACAGTTTATTGTTGCACAAAGGTGCAGTGAATGAAATTGTTAGGGACAAACTGTTCACTTTTAAGTAATGGGAATATGCAGGTTATAAATGCAAGCTCAGCAGGCGGATCGATCAAAGCCCCCAAAACTATGAAAACTTCACATAAATCCAACAACAGCGAACTCTGCGTATTTTGTATTGAGCTGTGTTAATATCTGTGCTTTAAATCAGCTCCACAAGTGATTCCGGTACTGTCGGTTCTAACTCGGGGTCACGCTCCCGTGAGTAACGTCAGCTCCTGCGGGAACGGACTGCGGCTGTAGCCTCCAGCAACCTCCACACGGCTTTCGAGGAAAGATGGCGATCAGAGTCCTTCAAACAGTGGGTAGAGGCCTTAAACAGACGAGAAGCGGGCTTCATGCGAGCAGCCCGGTGAACGTCGCCCTCAGGTTAGACTCTTCTATACACGGTTTATCTGTGCAGGTGCATAAATATTGCTTAAAAGTCATCAAACTTCTGCTCGTGTAGCCCAATGACAACGTGCGGGCTCTGCTAGGCGGTTAAGCTAATGCTAAAGGGAACGTAAGGACGTTCGCTACGTTTACATCTCTGTGCAACGTAGCTAGCATTAGCCATGTAGCTGTAAATCTGCTAACTTTCTGCTAACATTGATTGTTACCCCCACGATTTTTAAAATAAACAGCGAGTCAACTTGTCCTAACAATCGCCAGTGTCTGATTTATAATGTCATGCGTGATTTTATAGACTTGGGTTGAAGAAATGATTAAAAACTTACCGCCGAGTTACTCTGAGTCTTAAACTGAATTCAACTTCAAGGTCAAAATGCATTGAATTGCTGCACAGCTGTGCTTGTTTTGGTCACTGGACGATTCAGTTTCTTCGCTGCAGCAGCTGAGCGGCCTAAAATAAGCTGTTATTTCCCTTTGAAAGGCAGATATTTGTATAAACCTGACTACAGACTGACACTAAAATGTGTCCTTTTTTTGGTGCATTATGAGGAAAACCGGTGGACTGTTTCCTGATAAACAAGCTCAGCCGCTACACGTGGTGACTGTTGGCACTTGTAGATCGAGTACATTAACAGAAAATGCAGGAAGGCTGATTAAAGTCAGTGCAGACTAATCTCAGGGTTTTGTGCTCTGTGTAGACCTTCAGCCTTCTGAGCTGCTGACCTCTGAAATGCATAGGTTGGCTGGGCTAAAAAAAGATTTGCACCTTTTCTTCAGCCGACATTTACTAGTTTACACCTCGGGCTCTTGCAGTAAAACTGACCTTATTCACATTAGGAAGCCAGGACACTTTTGAAAGTTTCATAACAACAATAGTAAAGGTATTATTGAATATAGCCCGTCCACATCTGTATTTTTGAGACTTGGACTGATAAAGCAGCAGCTAGAGGTTTAACACTAAAATATATATGTCAGATGTTCCCAGAGAAATACAACACAGAATAGAAGGAAACAGGGTTGGATTATTAGGGGAGCTTTGTTGTTGTTGGTACTTAAATGCTGCATTGTGTAGCCAAAGAAATGTTGATTGTATCCAACTTTTAAAAAAAATGTTTTAATCCCATCACAGGAGCCTCTCAAATGTTGGTGATGAAAGCTGGTTCAAATCCCTTTTTGTTAGAAAAGTCATCCCCAGAAAAGATGCTCACTCTCACCTGCTTGCCAAAAAAGAAGACAACAACCTGTATAAAATACAGTGTATGTATTGCTGGCAGTGGGACACAGTTAATGATTACCACAACAGTTAATAAACCCATGAAATCTGTTTGATCATGTTGTCTACTCATGCTTTGTTTTTTTCTTCTTTTGTTGCAGTTCACAATGTCAAACCTGAGTGCCTCGATGCTTACAATGAACTTTGGTATGAGTCTTTGTTGTGTTATCTTAATTCAGATGTCACATTAGAACACTTTTTTGGAACCAGTATGTCAGATATTTTGCATTTTCACACTTTTTCTTTTCTTTTTGTCTGTGTCTTCAGTGAGGATGTCTTGCCTTCCATTCACACTGACCCTGAATACCCCTGTGAGCTTGTAGGCACCTGGAACACATGGTATGGGGAGCAGGATCAGGCAGGTAAGAACATCCACCCTACCTGAGTTACAACGGACTTTCTTTTGAATGTCAGCGAGGTGAATTATTTGAGCCCATTCAATCTGGTTATTCGTCAAAGCTCAACCTTCTCTTTTAGAAGAGGAAACATGAGATTGAAAGCTCACAGACAACATATTACTACGAGGTAAAAATGAGAACAATGTTCATCATGAATATTATTTATTTAAATAAGCAGTTTATGGATACAGACTTGAGCCCTGGATTTTTTTTTTTTAATCCAGCGTATTTCATGCGATGCTCAGACTCATTTTATAATAAATATTGTTGCTTTTAGCTCTACAAGATGCAAACTACTTGACCTCTTGATTGTGAGTCCTATTGATTAATGAGAATCTGTACGTGTTTAAGCTAAATCAAGTTGTACAGCGGGATAATCTTGCTGCTTTCTGTTTCCCGCTGCAGATGAGTTACATTGAGGTGTGGCAGAATTTTTCAAACTATGTCGTTATCTTGGTGTAAAAACAGACATTACTTAAAGGCACTGTGCTTTTTCTCCTCTCTCAGCTTTTCTATTTCAGTTAATTATAGCTGAGACTGAACTGAACTTTTTCCTGGCTGCTCTCCATTTTGTCCAAGTGGTGACATTTGTCGTTCCACAGCTGTGGGCCCTCTCTGGTGTTACAGAGCTGTAATGTTGGCAGTGTCAGGAAAGGTTTTCTAAAAGGTTGCATCAGTACACTTTCAGCATGTGAACACTTAGACAGTATATGGTGCTATGTTTTTAGCTTGTCGCTGTCCCTTTTTGGCTCCGTCTTATTGTCATGGTTGTGTTTTGTATTCTGATTTGCAGTTTGATGCTAAATCTTGAACTAACAGATTAAAGGCATTTAGTTTAATGTGGAAATAAACATTAGAATTGTTTCTTTTAATATTTTCCGAGATACTATATGTATTAAATACACTCAATGGCCACTCTATTAGGTACACCTATTCAGTTGTTCATTAACTCAAATATTTAATCAGCTAATCATATGTCAACAGCTCGGTGCATTTAGGCATGCAAACATGGTCAAGAAATCCTGCTAAAGTTCAAACTGATGATCTGAAAGGGGAAGAAAGGTGTATTAAGGGACTTTGAATGTGGCATACCTGTTGGTGCCACACACAACACACAAAATATTGATCTACTGGGATTTTCCCACACACCCATCTCTAAGGTTTACAAAGACTGGTCACCAGATTTCAATCCAGTAGAGCACTTTTGGGATGCGGTGGAAAGAGAGTTTCTCATCATAAATGTGCAGCTGACAAGTCTGCAGCAACTATGTGATGCTGTCACTTCAACATGAACCAAAATCCGTGAGGACTGTTCCCAGCACCTTGATGAATTAAAGCAGTTCTGAAGACAGAAAATGGTCCAACCTGATAATAGCAATGTGTATCTAATGAAGTGGCTGGGGAGTGTATGTTAGTGCCATGTTCATTTTTTCACGTCATGAAATTAAGAATTTTTCATTTTTCTGAGATATAATTGTAGTGGTAAGATGACATGATGTCCTTTCACATGCATACACAGAAACTGACTGGAAATTCATGCTGTATAGACTGAATCCCGTCATGCTCCACAATCACGGGTGGTTCATAGGGAGGTCTAACCACAGATGCTATTGTGAAAAACAAAACTCTTACTCCCCCAAAAAAGACAAGATCTATTTAAGAGCTACGTTATCTTTGGCTCTTCTGCTCCTTCTATTCTAGTTCACCTGTGGAGATATCGGGGAGGATACCCGGCTCTCACCGAAGTCATGAACAAACTCAGGCAGAATAAGGTAACGGGTGCTCTGATTAGTTAAGCCTACTGGCCGTTGGTTATCTGTAGGCCAATGTTTCCAGCAGTGCACCCATCTAGCTAGACCCACGTGACATTTTCCTTCCATCTTTATCTTTAATGTTTCCAGTAATCTTTAAAGGTTATTTACACAGTAATGCTTTGAAGAAGGAAAGTGTTAATGAACAGATGATTCATGCTGCAGGTTTAATCTTCAGGAATGTGTTTTTTTTTCTTAGTTTTTGGAAAGCCCTGCAGATAAAATAAAGTAAGTGGCTTGTAATAATGTGTTCCTCCCACATTGAAGAGCATGAACTGATTGGTCAGATAATTACAAAGAAAATCAACCTGTTTCACATATTTGTGGCTCTGCCCCCTGGTGACAGAATACAGCTACCACATGTAAACAAGAGGCTACAAAACCGTGCATAGGCTTTGTGCACTGGTCCTGCACATCTGTGACGCTCCCTTTATTGCTTTATCAACTGTCCTTTGGCAAACCTCATGACTTTAATTTGCACAATTCCACAAACTTTAATCAGTAAATACATACTACTGTTAATCTGCTCAGATAATTTACTCATCTATCTCTGCATACATTAAGTAGCACATGGCAAATTACAAGTGTATACACTATATTTATAACCATAAATGCCATATATATTCTCTGCATATCACTACTCCTCTATTATACCTTCTCAGAAAAGGTGATTTATATATGCATATATATTTTTATGAGTCCAGGTAAAAATATATTTTCTTTCACTTAAATTCTCTGAATGCACACTAGCTGACTTTCATTGTCTAGATCCTGATCAGACTTCACAGTCGAACAACATGAATACAAATATATTTGGCAGTTATTTTAGCTGAGTCAGATTTTCTGAGCGCTGTGCTTCTTTCATTTGTCTTTGCTGTAGAAGTTTATGGAGTACAGGAATGAGAGGGGGAAGATGCTGCTGTCTCGTAGGAACCAGCTGCTGCTGGAGTTCAGTTTCTGGAACGAACCCGTCCCTCGTCCAGGACCCAACATCTATGAGCTCCGATCGTATCAACTCAGGGTAACTCTTTTTTTTATTTTATGAACCACAGAATTAGTCCTCCTCCCTCTGTAAGTCTGGGTTTTTGGGGGGAGCGTTTTTGTTTTGTATTTTGCGGTACATGTAGTTAACATGATCTTTACCTTCTTTTTCTCAGCCAGGCACAATGATTGAATGGGGAAATTACTGGTAAGGCACAACTTTCCTTTTTCATGTAATATCTGAGCCACCAAATTTGATCATTTATGGGGGATAACTTTGCGAGCTTTAGTTCACTTTGTACTAGTCTTGTAGCTACAATCTAAAAAGTTCCTCACTGCTAGTTTGTTGGTTTCACATGTTGTTGCAGGTGAAAATGAGTCTGCAGTACTTTCTGACTACAAAATGTATGCATGACCGCATATAATAATCCATTAACTGCCTGGGCTTCATTTAATATATGTCAATATATTCATCTGTTGAATTGAAATGGATTTTTTTGTTAATTTTATAAAACCAAATATGCAGGGATGATTATAACAAGGCTGATGGTTTAAAACTGAAATTTGATGTACTGACTTGAAATGAGGAGAGTACTGGTGGATGTTGTGGTGTTTTAATTACTGCCACTCTATTTAGAAGCTGTTTTGTGTAATGTCTTTGGTGCTGTGCAGGGCTCGGGCTATTGAGATTCGCCAGCAGAACCAAGAGGCGGTGGGAGGCTTTTTCTCACAGATTGGAAGTCTGTACACAGTTCACCACTTATGGGGTAAGATGAGTTTCCAGGATCATTCAAGAAAGATGCTGCAAATATTGTCCAGGTCACCTACAAATGCAAATGTATGTACGTGTTTTTGGTACATGCCTTTTAGATGTAAAACAGCGGTCCCCACACCGGGCCACAGACCAGTACCGGTCCACCAGAGTTTAGGCTCGGGTGTGAAATTTATGGTTTTCAGGGTTTTTGTCGCTAACTCGGTTTCCCCGGGTCTTTTCCCGTGTTATAGTTGTGTGTCTTATTTTGAAATAAATATTTACGCGTTACCATAGTGACCAGAGAGCATTAAGGGGCAGAGAGGAGGATGTTACTCTTAATGTTGCTGGTACATTTCAGGAGGACGCTGCTAATAAAGTTACACAATTACACAGTGAATTCGGGTTTATTATTATATTTACAAATTACCACAGTTTTTGTCTTGGTCGTATTATTTTAATTTTTTTGTATTTATCCGCGACACCTTAAAGGCCAGTCTGCGAAAATATTGTCTGACATTACAATTGACATTCCGTTGCGCAACAAAGGTTGGGGACTGCTCATGTAAAAGAGTCCAGGACCAGGAGAGGGGACGAATCCCTTGGAGGGTGCATCCGGCATCAAATGTGTACTGCTGAAAGAAGCTCCCATTTTGCTTGTAGCATTAAACAGTTTACTTGGTGTTGCTCTTCTTTCTTTCCACGTGACGGTGTGCACCTTTAGGTTCTGGAAGTGAACTTAATGCAAAAGCTGTCAAGTATTTAAATTTTCCTGAGCACGACTGTTTGACGTTATGTTTCGTCTTTGGTTTAAAAAGCTACAGCTTTTACTCAGTGAGTTTGAACGTGTTTCTTTTCAGCTTACAAGGACCTGCAGTCCAGAGAAAATACCAGAAACGCAGCCTGGCAGCGTGACGGCTGGGACGAGGTTGTTTATTACACAGGTTGGTTTCAGTCTGATACTTTTATACTTAAGCAAGTTTTAGTTACTGTAAGTGCTGAGTCTTGTTGTTCTGTTGTGGGCATAAGACATTAAAATTAACCTATTTTATATCGATTATCCATATTTGTGTCATGTTAACGTTAAATGAAAATATTAATTTCAAACATTTAAGCTCGGATGAACCCAAGCTGCCAACAACTTATTATAAATTGTCGATCAAGAATAGATTAAAACAATGAAGACTAATTACTAATACTGTCAACATATTCTCTTCTCAGGGCTTCAAATACTGGAAGTATTGACTTTTTTACACACCTTGGTAATAATGAATTTTGAGAACTAAATGCCGTGTTTTAAAAAGATATAATAGGTGCAAACCTACAGAAAAGAAACTGACCTTTTACAAAGTGTCTTTTTTATAATCACTTTACTGGGAGAAAAAGCATCATGAGAGCAAGGAAAACAGTGAAGTAGACCACAGGACACAGGAAAAGAGACTCAGATTGCACTAAAGTGCTTGCAGTGTGTCAGTAGATGCTGTTGGCTTCGCAGCGTTGAAACTGCTATAATCTAAAGGTGAATTGCAAAATGCACATCTTTGATACTTCATCCTGTTGTGTCATTGCTGTGGTTGCTGCAGATCATATAAACAAAGACAACTTTTCCTGCTGAAGAGACGATCAGTGTGACATCTACCTTTTTAATAATGTTTTATGTGAATTAATGTTATCCCTAAATGCTGGCAAAACTGCAAACTGAATTATGTTAAACCTCATTAATGCCAGTGAATTTCGTAAGCTGCATGAGGTGTAGAAGCATCGTATAATCTTTCTTTAGTGTTTAGAAAATGTAACCTCTTAGCCGGCAATGAAGTCTCCCTGTTAGGAAGCTTCCCAATGAAAAACTGACTATTCAGCTACAGCCAAAGTCTACTTGAGGAGGCGGGAACAATAGTGTCAGTGAGTTACTTTTGTTCATTCACTGGACATTTTAGGCACTAAAACTTGTCATGGCTGTAAAAGTTCTTGGGAAAATTAATTGCCCACTTCTGCTCTAAAGTGTGTTGGTTGTACATAGAGCTTTGCAGACTTTCACCAGTGAGCTGTGTTACAAATATAGCATCTTTATTTATAACACACTTTACATCCAACAATGTTGGCCAAAGTGCTACAAATATAAAATAAAGAGAAAACAGTTCAAATTACATCTAAAATTTCTTAAAATTAAAAATAATACAATTAATAAGAAAACATATTAAGAGACATCAACAAGGTAAATAAATGTTTTAAGACGTGATTTAAAAACGGATAAGGAAGGTGCCTGTCTAACATGTAAAGGCAACTCATTCCACAATTTTGGTGCTGCCACAGCAAACGCCTGATCCCCTCTGAGCTTACCATTAGTCCTAGGCACACTCAGCAGGAGCTGGTCTGCCAGGAAGGTATGTATGGATGAAGAAGCTCAGAGAGGTACAGAGGGGCAGCATTGGACAAACATTTAAAAACAAATAAAAGCAGCTTAAAATATGTGGAATAAACAGGTGCTCTGAGTTATTCTTGTTTGTGCTTTAGTCCATGCTTTTAGCTTTTAGCTCGTGCTGCAGAGAAGACTGTTCAAGCCTGATTTTCATCACCTTTGGGCTTCATTCCTTCCTTTTCTTTGGAGAACTGCACACAAGCATGTCTGTAGATTACATACTCATAATTCTTCACTTGTTCATAATTACACAAATGGAAACAAACGTGGCACAATAAATTCTACTTCAGCGTCTCTCTGATGCCTGAATCTATGAAGGATTGATTTAGCAATAGGGACTCGTTATGTTCAATGGGATTACAAAGACACTCAGCAGTGTTGGTGTAAGGACAACGTACAACAACTCAGGCTTTAATAAAATGAGCTTTTATTGGGATGTTAACATTGAAACTAAACTGAGAACTCTAGCTATAAATTCATGAAACATTAGCAAATTTAAATGAGATAAAGTTATGTTCCCTGTTGGAAATCTGTTGTTAAGACTGTTGTTTGTTCTTTACCTCACAGTCCCTCTTATTCAGCACATGGAGTCTAGAATAATGATTCCCATGAAGAATTCGCCCTTGAAGTAACTACTAACACCTGAGGAGAATTCTCAGCCGCCACTGCAACTATTACACTGATCTGTCGAGAGTGTAACCAACCGTCAAAGTGTGCACTGCCAGGGAAATCGGCTCAACATCAACACAATCTTGTTTCCTTTCATTTGGTTTCTTTTCTCCCCTTTTTCTGTTTGGAAGATGAGGTCAAAATGATTGTCACCAAAACTGTACCTGTTACAGCAGCTACTATGTTACTGACCTATTAATGTGGTGTGCTTATGATTTGGGGGTGCACTCCTCTTCACCTTCTGTCATTTAAAGGGTGTTTGAAATGTCTTGTCTGTCTTCATTTTCTTTTCCTTTCTTTATTGTTTGTGTGCTGGTCACAGGGCCTTTTTAATGTACAAGAAAATTTAATATGATTTATGAGTCCTGAAACAAAATGACGATTACCAGTGTCTTACAGCAGAAAATAAGAGCTCACAGTAGCTCACTGTCAAAATTACATGGCTTAAAATACATACTGAGTGGTCAGTTTCACAGAGAAAAACCTGCAGTTTAAAGTTCAGTGTTATAAAATGAGCACTAAAGCTGAGAGTTACAGGTTTTGGTCTGTTTCAGAGCCACAGTCTCACTCAAAGTTGTGTCCACTCCTCTTTTGTTGCACAGCTTTGATACAGCCAACTTGGTGTTTACTCCTTTCAGAATCATTTGACTGGATGAACCAATTCCTGTCAACAATACTGCATACACACAAGTTGCCAGCTCATTGTTTTTGTTTTGTTTGTTTTTTGTCTTACCAGAATCATGAATACTGAATTTGAATTATTTGCCCTGTTTTTGTTTTTTTTTGGGGGGGGGTTTAAACTGACCACAACTCCTGATTGTTCAAATTGTAACATATGACACACGTGGCTCTTCCAGACAGAAGACATGTTTTTGAATCCAGCGGAACTAATCTGTATTTACAGCATAGCCTGCTGTACGCTTACTGACAAGTTTGGCCTTTCCCTATATCAAGTAGATGATGTCTGGGTGATTGTATGCTCTGACTAAGATCAATGTTTTCTTTCGTTTCTTTCTTTCTTTTTAAATGGGCAGATTGTAGATATACATAGTGGGATTATTGGCCAAACCATAGTTACAGACCCTCCTGAATCTGAATGTGCAGGGTCTTCTATTACCTAGCGGGTGTTGATAACCCTGTGAACAGGAGAGGAGTAGTATCTTGTGTGATAAATTGTAAAATGCAGTGCTTTAATAAGATTAGTTGTACATATTTAATTAAACTTCTGATAAAAATTAAGAGCGCTCTTTGTCATAGGTTTGAAATGATAGAACGTGAGTTGATTTTTGACTGTCAGACCACAATTTTCTGTTTTCTTCAGCATTAAAAAAAAAATCAAATACGCATATTAATTTTGCATGCTGAAGAAAGTGTGATGCTACTATATAAAATGGTAAGGCTTAATAATAATAGTAATCGTTTAAAATAACTCGTGTGTGTGTGTGTGTGTGTGCGCGCGCGCGCGCGCGTGTGTGTGTGTATTTCCAGACATTGGTGTCTAGGGTGTGACTTATGCTGCCTTCATGGTGTGATGGAAATCTTAAACGTTAATGCTCGGCACTAATGCTGCAAAGTAAGGAGAGGATGGATTCTGTCGGAAATTTTAAATATATATTTTAAATATGTTTCACGCAAAAAGTTATAACTTTTCAGGACATTGTTCACAGTTTCACTGTGATTTGCTTACCGATATTGCCAGTCGGAAAACAAATGATCTGACTTTGTTGCCTTGAAGGTGTTCTAACGTTTCTTTTGGAGAAGCCGAGTCAACCTGACACGATATTTCCATGGGTTCGAAAAATGTAATGACTTTTCTGCACTGATATAAATCATGGTGTGGACCAGTTGTAATAGCTGTAAATGCGGAATGTCCCAGCGTCGGCGTGTCCCCTAAATGCAGCACGAGAACACGTGTTGGAGCCTTCTGGAAAGCGACTCCCCTTTCGAGAGCTTCCGAACCCGAGTAGCGTGGACTCCCTACCGGCGATACTTTTTACTTGTACTTCGCTGGTTGTGCTGCGCTATGGCTGCCGTAAAAGCTCTAAACCCCAAAGCAGAGGTGGCCAGAGCCCAGGCCGCCCTGGCTGTTAACATTAGTGCCGCCCGGGGGCTGCAGGATGTGCTGAGAAGCAACCTGGGACCGAAGGGGACCATGAAAATGTGAGTGCCGCCGGAGCTCTTTGTGCAGCACGCGTGATATGCTAACTCGCTAACGTTAGCAGCAATTCACCGGTTTAGCATCGCAGCCGATAGCGGTATGTCGCCACCAAAGTCTTTGTGCCTGAAAAGTAGAAACCATCCACTCTTTATTACAGAGTACCTGTCCAAAACACACTTAAAATAAATCGAGGCCTGCCATCGCTAAACGGTTAGCGGATTTTCCCGGCACTCGTTGCCCTGCCCAGTCATCGTCATGATCCGCTCTAACAGCCATAAAGCTAACGTTAGCATGCTAGCTTCAATCGGTTAGCAGATCATGCCAGTTTACGTTAAAGTCGTAGTACTAAGTATAACGTGTCCACAAGTTTAGCCTTAACGCTAACTAAAGATACTGATGAGCGACTGAATAACTCAGTTACAGGTAGAGATTTGTTTGGGGATTTGTAGATGATGTGAGGAAATGGATAAATAAAAGCTAACAGCCATAATCTGCGAGTTCTTCAGCAGGCAAACAATAATAGGGTGAAAGTTTGCATTATCATAATATAAGCCGCTAGTAGGTAGGGTAACAAATATTAACCCTCTTCTGTCTCTGTGGATCTGCAGGCTGGTGTCTGGTGCAGGAGACATAAAGTTGACCAAAGATGGCAACGTCCTGCTACACGAGATGGTAAGGGACACGATGAGCTGTAAAATGAGGATCTTCTGTCAGTGATGTCATATTAGTACTGTATTGCCTATTTCACAGAGAGTGACCACACCCTAAATGTTTGTATATGTCTCTTAAGCCTTTGTTCTCACAAACAATGAGTTTAACAGCAGCATGTTATCTGACTGAGCTTTAAATATCTGGATAGATGTGCTTTAGGGTTTGAACTTGATGGCACTTTTTCCACATTTGTCACAGTGCACATTAATAATTTGACAATAATTCGTTAACCATTACAACGTACCTAAATTCTAAAAAATACATTGAACACAGAAGTCTTTACCAGCTGACCGGGCCACACAACCTGCTATCCTCCTAATGCCATCCCAAGTACAGATTAATGGGAGGGTATCCGGTGTAAAATCTGTGCCTATTCAACTTGTAGATCTGTCTGTTGAGGCAACCCCTTTGGGAAACAAGGGAGCAACTGGAAATACCTTTTTTTTGCACTTCAAAGCAAACTTAGTACCTTGTAATGCAACTGAGGATTCATAATAATTAATAATGGATGAGTAGGTTTAGCACTGCTGCCATGAATTACCCATGAATGAGGATTTTCATAAAATTTTTCCCAACCTGTTTCCCTTTCAGCAAATTCAGCACCCTACAGCATCGCTGATTGCCAAGGTTGCCACTGCACAGGATGACATCACAGGAGATGGTACCACCTCCAACGTCCTCATCATTGGTGAACTGCTGAAGCAGGCTGACCTTTACATTTCAGAGGTACAAGATAGTTCACAGTGTGTGTTTGTATTTGGCATGTCAGTCTCTCTAGTGAATGAATTGTTGAGGTATCTTTTTTTTAACCACAACTCCATTTTAATGGCTTGTTGCAGGGTCTTCATCCAAGAATCATTGCCGAGGGCTTTGAGGCAGCAAAAGAGAAATCTTTGGCTGTTCTTGAGGAAGTAAAGGTGACTCGGGAAATGGATAGAGAGACCCTCATTAACGTCGCACGCACCTCCCTCAGAACCAAGGTCCACGCAGAGCTGGCAGACCTGCTCACTGAGGTGAGACATGAGGGAATCGAGCACAAAGCAGATGTTAGATGTTTTTACCTTATAGCCAATTAGTTAGTTTACTTTGACATTTCAAAGTTGCCACAGACCTAAGGGCTTACTTATTCTTGAACCTTTATGGCAGTCTATAGCTTGTTGTGAGTGCACTTCTCTATTCTCTAATCTTAGCTGTCGCTCATTTAGCTTGTGCTCACCTTGTCTGTTTGCAGGCTGTAGTAGATGCTGTGCTCGCCATCGCTAAACCCAATGAACCCACTGACTTGTATATGGTGGAAATCATGGAGATGAAGCACAAGACCGACTGTGATACACAGTAAGTGTAAATACAGAGGTGGAGAGGGGGATAAGACAAGACTGTGCTTAACTGTGAATTCTAAATGCTGATCTGTTATTTCTTAGGCTGATCAGAGGTCTGGTGTTGGACCACGGCGCCCGGCACCCAGACATGAAGAAGAGGGTGGAGGATGCTTACATACTGACGTGCAACGTCTCTTTGGAGTACGAGAAGACCGAGGTCAACTCTGGCTTCTTCTACAAGAGCGCTGATGAGAGGGAGAAGCTCGTGGCTGCAGAAAGGAAGTTCATCGAGGACCGCGTGCAGAAGATTATCGCCTTGAAAAACAAAGTGTGTCCCAATGGGGACAAGGGCTTTGTCGTCATTAACCAGAAGGTATGCTAGAAAATGCGGATGTTAACATAGTTCAAAGGCTAAAGTTTAAAAAAAAGAATTGTCAAACTCAGTTCAGTCTGGCTTGTACTACTAAAGATACAGGCTCGTAATTTGACTTTGTGTTTTCATACGAACACTAAGCCTTTTGAGACTGGCCCAGCCAATCTGGCTGCATGCACAGCGAACACCCAAGGATGCTATCATGGCTCCCCCTGGTTTTTGTGTCTGTGCTACAGTAACTCTGATCTGTACCTCTGCATTAGGAGAGTCTCTTCCTCCCCTACATGTATTCAGCGGATCAGGATAATCTTTACATCGCTTACATTTACTGAACTATTTAGTGTAAACTGCAGTCTCAAGCATGTCTTCTTATTTTGTGTGTGTGTTTAGGGTATTGACCCATTCTCCCTGGACGCCCTAGCCAAAGAGGGCATTGTTGGGTTGCGGAGGGCAAAGAGGAGGAACATGGAGAGGTGAGAAAAATATTTTCAGTGTTATAAATGTTGGTGGTGTTTTATAGTTGAGATGAGCAAAACATTACATTACTTAGATAAAAGTTCATAGAAGATTTTTGAATTGTTTGATTTAACATGCTGAGATGAGCTCATGCTTTATGTTTTGAAATTGGCACAGACACACCCGTACAGGTGCTTTACACTACCAGCCGGTATCAGTCAGCTATATATTAAGAAGCTGAATTACACTCAGTGTGTCGTTCCTGTGACAGGCTCACCCTCGCTTGCGGTGGCATCGCCATGAACTCAGTTGATGACCTCACACCTGAATGCTTGGGACATGCTGGCCTGGTTTATGAACACACACTGGTGAGACTTTTTTTTTGGGGGGGGGGGGTGTCTATTTTTTACCTTTCAGTCCACAAAACTGTGAAATTTAAACTTTTTAAAATTAAAATGATATTAATGCTGCAACCTTGCTTGCAGGGAGAGGAGAAGTACACGTTCATCGAGAAGTGTGGAAACCCTCGCTCAGTTACCCTGCTGGTGAAGGGACCCAACAAACACACCCTCACACAGATCAAAGATGCCGTAAGGGACGGTCTGCGGGCAGTAAAGAACGCTATTGAAGATGGTAAGAGCTGAACATTTCCTCTATGCTTATTTTACTTTTTAAAATCCTTTTACTAAAAAATTATTAATATAAACTTTTGTTGATGATGAATTTCTGCAGTTTTGTTCTATCTGAATTAATCCTACTGGATGTTCTGCTTGACCATTAGTATGGCTTATAAAATGCTACCTTTTTAAACAGATTAACACTTTTTTTTTTTTTTTTTTATGTCTGTGTGCAGACAAATCAGTGTTTTTAGAATTCTTTAAGCAGAAATTCATTCATGAAACAACACTCTGAAGTCCTTTAAGGCTTTTTCCAAATATTGTGTGGACAAACTGTAGATCAAAATATCCATTTTCTCTTTATGTTGATAACAAGCTGAAATTGAAGGTGGTTAATTTGTCCTTAAGGAAAACAGAACAGGTCTCATTTGCACAGCGAACACCCAGGGATGCTAGTGTGGCTCTCCCTGGTCTCCAGTGTCTGTGCTACAATGACTCTGATCTTATCCTCTGCATTAGGAGAGTTTAGTCTCTCCTACATGTATTCAGCTGATCAGAACAAACTCCACTAATTGTTTTAAATATTAGAGCTGTTCCCTCCCCGAGTGGGTTAATTTATATGACACATTTGTTTGCTTTCCTAAATAATCTCTTTATTTTTCTATGTCTTCAGGTAGTGTAGTCTCCGGTGCAGGTGCCTTTGAGGTTGCTGTGGCAGACGCTCTGGTAAAACACAAGCCCAATGTGAAAGGCAGAGCCCAGCTGGGAGTCCAGGCATTTGCAGATGCTCTCCTAGTCATCCCTAAGGTAAAGAATAATTCATTTTCTCTGTCATTTTTATTAACAGAAACCTGGTTTGTTTCTTGCTGCACCATTATTTGTCACCTTCTTACAATCCATCCTGTATCAAAATTTACTGATGTTTTTAAAATGCCATCTTTCTGATCTTAGGTTCTGGCCCAGAACTCTGGCTACGACCCACAGGAGACCCTGCTGAAGCTGCAGACAGAGTACAAAGAGTCTGGCCAGCTAGTTGGAGTAGACCTCAGCACAGGTGAGAACCACAGCAGCGATCAGTCAATCCTGAAGTGATTGTGTTTTAAAGTTTAGAGTAAAACTCTATAATTGTGAAGTTATTAAACAGTAACAATTTGGCAGAATTTAAACCTTTTTTTTATTTTAACCTTTTGCTTTGCAGGAGAACCAATGGTGGCAGGAGAAGCAGGCGTATGGGATAATTACAGTGTCAAGAAACAGCTTCTTCACTCATGGTGAGACGAAGGAATGTTTTAAATTACCCCGATGTATCGCCCACATGGGTCACTAACACGGGTCTCTGTTCACAGCACGGTGATCGCAAGCAACATCTTGTTGGTGGATGAGATCATGCGAGCTGGAATGTCTTCTCTCAAAGGTTAAAGTCACCTAAAGAAGCTGCAGCTGTTATACTCACAGGGATAGTTGTTTACCTAAAGGTTCAGTCAACGTGTTCCCGCTGTAGGCACTCTGAAGCACCCCCAGTCTGATGGACAGCCCGCTGTAAACATCCACGGCATCCATCGCAGCGCCTGTCAGACATCATTGTCATGCTAGTCATGAGGTTCTTTTTGTTTTCCATGGATTTGTCATCGCCTCCCTCTAAAATGATTGGTTTATTTATGAGATTTTGTTAAAAGCACTGACCTCTGCCTCAGTTTTGTTTCTACCCATTAAAGGTTTTCCTGGCTCCGTAAAAATGTGGTTCTTTGTCGTTGAAGAATTAATCAGTCAAACATATAAAAGTTAACATCTGTGTTTTTTCTTCTCTGAGTCCATGAATGATTTGGAAGCTCATCAGGGAAGATGTGATCTGTAATGCACAACCAGTGTTGGACCGGAGCATAAGAAATTAAGCAGGTCATCAGCCTCCATCTCCTCTTATCTCTCCCCTTAGCATCCTTCCTGTCACACTGATCCTCTGCATGTGTCCTTTGTGTGCTTCCTCTTGCACTTTTCTACTGTTGTAAATAAGCTCTAGTTTCTAAAGAGTTTTCGCGACACACCAAATCAAAACACAAACACTTCTGAACTTTCTGTATTCACCTGCCTTTTGACATCAAAATGAAGGCTTCACAATAAATGCATCCCAGCAAAAGACCCTAATGAGTAAAACGTCATTGATCACAAACATTGGGAGATCCCTGAGTTCTTGTAACGTTAAAAAAAAAGTCTATATACTTAAGACATTTTAATTAAAAAGTAAATATGCTTAATAAAGCAGCAGTTCTCAAATTCACATTAAAAAAATAGCAAATATCAGATATGTTAGTGGTTCAGTATAACAGAAGTCAAGGGGACAGTGCAGCGCATTAAAAGTGGTGTAATGTGTACTTGGGGTGTTGGGCTGAAATAGCCTATTAACACCAGAGAGCAGATGTACTCGCGTACTTGAGAATTGAGAAAGGGTTACACAGATGTGCTGCATGGGAGTAAAACATAACCTGTAACTGTAATTGAGAAGCTGAATCAGTCAGATAGGGTTGAGTACGATTTATATTACACCAGCGCAGAGCATCGGTGTTTACGTCTTACTCGAAATATTTTCCAATGTAATACTCTTCCTGTTATTATTATTAACAATATTAATATTATTCTCAATATTATTCTCAATATTATTAAACTACAAAGCTTTGAGAAAGAGGAAGTATCGCGTGAATTTGAAAAAACGGACGGAACCAATTTTGAGGTGCAACGGTGAAATCTGTCCGATAGAAACGACTAAAAAATGAAATTGAACTTTGAGAAGTTCTCCATTTGAACGTGGTTAAATGTTTAACTTGTATATTTTTGTTTAGACGTGGTTTCAAACCAGTTTTAGCAAAGACGATGGTATTCTGGATGTTTGCTGTGTTTTTACTGACAGGGGCCGGTAAGAGGACTCTTTCTTTCATTTCTGAATTTAACAAAAACATTAACACTTAAATAAATACCCATCGAGGCATGTTTGTTCCTGGCAGCCGCGGAGGAAATGGTGAACATCCCGGGAGGAAAGATGTCAATGGGAACCAGTGCACCCGATGGGAGAGACGGAGAGTCTCCCACCAAGGAGGTCGAGCTTCAGCCTTTTGAAATAGACAGACACCCCGTCACAAACGCCGATTTCAGGTAAATAAGATCTACATTGAAATGAATTAAGGCAGAACTAATGCACTGAAGTCGGTGACTTGTTCATTTATTTGCCACAGAGACTTTGTGAGAGCCCAGAAGTACAAAACTGAAGCCGAGACGTTTGGCTGGAGTTTCGTGTTTCAGGACTTTGTGTCAGAAGAGCTGAAGAGCAAAGTCACTCAGAGAATTGAGGTGCCGAGTTATTTTTCTCTGATTAATAGATCAGATTACCAGCTAGATTAATGACCTTATTTCACAATTTTAAGCATACATCTCAGATATGAAGATTTGCTGTTTTTATATGTCTAACATTAGTGTTGTTCATAATAATTAATGAAACAATTTGTAGGCATCTCAGCATTTAAAGAGATTCTCCACAATAAATAAAATATATAATGTAGAGCTTCTTACTGTTGTAAACAGCTTCTGACCTATTTCCTCATCTTTTCCATCAGTCTGCTCCGTGGTGGCTGCCTATAGAGCGTGTGTTTTGGAGACAGGTGAGTTGCACATTGTGAGTTTGTTCCTATGTTTTTGACAGTTTTTGTTTACACTCACTTATTACATTTTATTAGGTAAACCATGCGAGTACTGAGTCAGACCCCTATTCCTTAAGCACTGCTGAATTCTTTGTGGCACAGATACAAGAAGGTGCTGGAAACATTCCTAGATACTTCGGTCCATGTTGACAGGACAGCATCACACAACTGCTGCAGATCATCAGCTGCACATCCACAATGCAACTCTTCTGTTGCGTCCACATCCCAAATGTGCTTTATCGTAAATCGACACTTATCAAACCAAACCGCATTTTTCCAGTCTTCTGTTGTCTAACTTTTGCTTTGGTGAGCCCGACCAAATTGTAGTCTCAGTTTCAGTATTCAGAGGTGTTTTTCTTTACACATTTGTTGTAACGAGTGGTTGATAGAATTATTGTTGCCTTCCTGCCATGCCTACTTTTTTGCCACGCACGTTGACCCTCTACTGTTCAGCCTTCAGGGCCTGGTTCGGGGATTCGAGATCATCTGGACTTTCCAGTGGTTCAGGTGAGCTGGAATGACGCCCAGGCCTTCTGCAGCTGGAAAAGCAAGAGACTGCCCACGGAGGAGGAGTGGGAGTGGGCTGCACGTGGGGGGCTGCAAGGTATAATGTTTACTGCTATTATAGTCGAGTTTTTGACTTTCACTTCCAGCTGACAACATTTAAGTCACACACAGTGATGTTTCTGCTCAGCAGCTCCTTTGTTATTGTCTCGACAGAGGAACCCAAAACTGCTTTTGTGTTTCAGATTCAGTCAAGTCTTTGTGAAAAATCAGGAAACTAGTTTGAATAATGGACTTTTTAACAAAACTGAAATATAATTTTATTGTTCATCTAATCTCTTTCCTGGCTGTTATGCTGCAGGTCGGACCTACCCATGGGGAAACAAGTTCCAGGCCAACAGAACCAACCTGTGGCAGGTCAGCATGTTGCAGTCATGGTTAGGTCATCATTAGGTCATTAGTATTGTTCTCATGGGAGGCTCTGATTAGGTTTTCACTAATGCTTCTTTAGCCACTGACATTGTGTTTTTGTCTTTGTTATTAAGTAAATATATATTGTATATCAATGAATACAGAAAAAACCCTCTGTGTTTATGTAAAACAATGTTTTACACTCGCATGTTTTGTTACTGAGGAACAAAACATGCGACTATATTTTAAATTTGTATGGATCCAGAGTTGGGGAGATTAATCTTTGTTGCTAAGACCAGTGTTGGTCAAGCTTCTTGAAAATAGTAATTAGTTACTAATTACTGATTACTTCTCCAAGAAAGTAATCCCGTTAACTTTACTGATTACTTCTTTTCAAAAGTAGTTGGTTACTTTATTACTTAAGTTACTTTAAAAAACATGATACACAACCTGAATACGTTATAAATACGTTATAAAGCTGTATAGGATCCGGGGGCTTCTCTGTGAATTCAACATTCCTGTGGCAGCTTGCCAGGTGCTTGCTCAGATTTAAAGTTAAAGTTTTTGCTGTAGAAAGACGTTTTCTTCCCATGCAGAGAGTACTGTGGACGCCACATGGTCGTACTCAGTACTCAGCCGCAGTTCATATTATCTGTTGTTGATCGACACATGTCTGTTGCTGCCACGGATGTCGCACGCTCGTACGTCATTGTCATAAGACACTCTCACAAACAAAATAATTGTTTAGTAACGCAGTAACGTAGCCTGCTTACGGGTAAGTAGCAGTAATCTAATTACTTTTTTGCAATAGTAATCCCTTTACTCATTACTTGAAAAAAGTAATCAGATTACGCTTTACTGCCCATCTGTGACTAAGACTCATTTAATTCTTCACTTACTGTATTGTGAGTCTGGACAAACATGGATTTAAAGTGTAATATGGTATTGTGGTAATTCTAGCTTTCGTGTATTTTAGGGATCTTTCCCAGATGGAGACACTGCAGAGGATGGATACCACGGCATCTCTCCTGTTACAGCATACCCTCCCCAGAATAGCTATGGTAATCTTGTTTTAACACACATCTTATCGGCATGATGAAAGAGCTGATTGGTAGCTAAGATGCTAAGAGGAATATTAACTGTGCATTAAGACTTTACATTTGTGTTTTGAGCTTTTGGAAACATTTGATTTTTCTTCTCACATTTTGTGTTGTGAACATTAACACATAATGACAAATCTTCCTCCAGGACTTTATGACATGATGGGAAATACATGGGAGTGGACATCCACACGCTTTTCAGCAGCGAGGCCGATGTACGTGCTGCGCGGTGCCTCCTGGATCGACACAGTGGACGGTTCAGCTAATCACAAGGCTCGAATCACAACCAGGTGAGTTTCTGAGGTAAAAAAACAAAA